ACTATGGTCAAAGGTGATTGCTATTTATTGGGTGTACATATAAGACTATTTACTCGATATAATATTTTAGATATTGTTTCATTCTTGCACTGTTTGCAAATTATTTTTTCTCTAAAATCACCCAGCACCACCTTTAAAAGCCATTTGAATCTCCCCAGTTAACTGATTTATTAACTGGAGCTACGCTTTTAGCCCTGGCTAAATCTCTATATTTGAACGAGTTTTTGAACTGGACTGACTTACCATTCTCTGCCTTGCCCAGACATTTTAAAACCTCCAAAAGGTGACTGAGGTATACCGGCCATAAAGCAGTTCACCCTAAAGATAGTAAAAGTGTTGAAAGCTCCATCACACAGTACCTCCAAACTCAAGGTGGGGATTAGTTACGGTTTTTTGGTTTTTTCTATAGTTCCAATACGCAAGCTACTGATCACGCAACGGTAGGTCAACATTATTGTGTGTTTTCACATGACGTCATGGCGGCCATATTTGTGTCCTAAAACAATGAAACGGCGGCCATGTTTGTGTCCCAAACCAGTCCTGTGGGAGTTGAACTATTTTCTTATGTAAACGCTTTCTCTTGTTCCAATAAATTTGCATAGATGCTGGCCACGTGAGTGAAAACACAGAATAAGACATTACTTAATTAACTTGTCGAGCAATTAGTTTTACGTCAGCTGGAACAATTTTGGTCAATTCTGTAACATCGTAAGCAAAAAACCAACCTCTCTCTTAACAAGACGCTGTGGGAGCGTATATTTGGGCATCGATGTACTACGGGTGTGTGAAGTTTTTTCATGTGTATTAGGGATGCGTGAGTGGTGCAGTAGCGCTGTATATTTTAGGGGTTGGTTAAGATTTGTGAACTGGAAGGCGTGGAGTTATATTGGACGTGGAATTGGTAAGTTAATGGCTGTAGTTTGTTAATCAGTGCACAGTTAGTAGAGGAGACTGGTTAGGAAAGTCGGCAAACATCAAAGTTCAAAACAACGGTGCTGAAGTTTATGTTGGAAGCTTCCTGACCATGCACAATCCCTTGTGTTTTGTTCCCAAATTGTGTGACTGAATAAATGAATGCGATGTTTCTACTGGTCAGTAAGTTCAAAATGATAGGAATTCTATTGAACGTTGTGCATGGTCAGGTTCAAAAAAGCTAGCAAAAACATATAACAAGAGTCTAACGGGTTTCATAACCATTCCACTTCAATTCGTCGCGGAGTGTCGCGTCCCCGCCAAGAGGTTTATAATCTCGTCGCGCGCGAACCGCGCGTGGTCTTAGGGAACTGCAAAATCGGATGGCCCACAAATCTTACTATGAATCTACCTTTTGGTGTCCGCCCTGACGTCATGCAAATGACGTCACGGAGCGTTGTGGTCTCCGATACATGGCACTATCATGTTTTATTCATAAACAGCTTATTGCGAAGGTTTACTCAATTACTGGTAGTGAATCACGAGCAATTTTTCATGCAAATGACACACAAAAGCAAGCATAACAACGCTGGATTCACTAAGTGGCTGGAAATCCTCGCCGGGGAATATTTTCCACAGAAATTCCTCTGAAACGAGAACGTCGACTTGAAATCCAGTGCAAGCAACGTCTACGGCAGCGAAGGTAACGCTGTCAACCGAGAGACAGAGGCTACAGCGACTACAAACATTTACAGAGGCAGCGACAAAATACTACAGTTACACTGAAAACGAAACCGATGAAGAGAGGGATCACCAACTGCCGATAATTCAAGACAATACAATTCGCAACAAAAGCGATGGGGAGAGGCAACGCTTGAAGTTTACATTCAAACTTATCTTCTTCGATACAACGATAGGCAGCAAAAATTTACAACTACACGACCAAAAAAATGCACATGAGGAATATCTTTCCAGCGGACTGAGGACAGCCGATCAGCCTTTTGACTATAATTAAAGCGAGGTTCTGCGATACACGGATTTCTAGTGACTATGATCAGTGAAACTGGTTTCTCGTAGAATTTAAAACGAAGTAAAAAAAAGTAATGCTAGTGAAGTAGTTGTGGGAGTGCTAATTTGGTTATGAAGGGATAGTGTAGTTTAAGTCCGTTGAAATGAAGAAGTGGTTGTAAAAGATCTTACAAATAGTCGAAAACATACTTGTACTTATTTTAAACGTTGTTAGGCTTTCTGTTTAGGATTGTTTTTCGGTTATTTTTGATAATATTTTTATGGAGAGAACGCGGATAAGGGAAATTTCAATTAATATAGAGAAGTGGATATGATTTCGAGGGGGGCTGAAATTTTGTGTTTGCTCGGGGGGCTTTGAAAAATCGGTGAGGTCAAGAGGGAGGACGTAAAATCTGGATATAGAACTAAGGCCCTGATCACATGAGCCAGGCTGGCTCGCTTTAAAGAGATCTCGGCACCTTGACTGAACGCAACAAAAATCAACTTTGCGATTACATGACTACCGAGCTAGTCAGCCAGACCGGTTAGCTGGGATCCTGGTATTGTGATGCCGGGATCTCGGGATTCCAAGTAATCACGCTTGCCGGGCGGCCCGGCGAATGAACCAAGCGAGAAACAGGACAGCGGTTAACACACTGTTCATGCGCATTGCTTCCAATCTCTATATAAAAATGGCGGCTCCGGGCTGGCCCTTTTCGAACGAAAAACATTCTCGCCTTGAGAGGGAAACTTTAAATTATTTAATAGTTTGTTTCATTCAGTGTACCTTGTTTTTTCAATACGTTTGTTTTCTATTGCCAATTTCTTTGCGCGATATCTGTGGGACGTACGTAACGAGGATAAATTCTGTGTCGTGACACATCGCGCGGTAGACATTCGCGTCGCTTGGCTTGTTTACTTGGTTTGTTTACGTTCGCATGTTTTGCGTGCCTATTGCAACTTTGAATCAAAACAAGCGAACTCGATTACTCTACTTGGGCGACGCCCAAACAATAATAAATGCAGTTAACACTCTTTGTTATCCAACTTTATATTACCAATATTTAGTAAACATCTATGAACTGACAATGGGTACTGCTGTATCCGAAATATTTTTTTAAAACTTAAACGTTGTGTTTTTAGATGTTTTAACAATACATATAAATAGGAAGCTTTAGCATCGACGGCGGAATTTTCGTTTTTTTTTTTTAAATAGTCGCTTTAGGCTCCTATTCGCCGGAAATATCAAATGTAGGCGAATATCCCTGGAGTTTATATCTTGGGTACCGCACTTAAGTTTTGAAAGATAAAGGCGGGCTTCTCGATTCAACCAATCATAAACCTTTTATTCCCAGGCTTTCCACTCACAAGGAATACTAAAACTTACAGAAAAGAGGGCGTTATAAGTGTTCTTACTAACCATACTGTTCCAGCCTGTAAACTGTGAGAAATGGTCGTTGCTTTATCGATGTCTTTGGTGATTACTGCTGCTGCCAGCCCATAAGTTGTGTTATTTGCCCTCTCAATAACCTCGTTTATATCACTGAATTTTATTATCTGCTGTACTGGGCCAAATATCTTGTAGAAGAAAGAGCAAGATAATAAATTTAATCACGTACAAGTACACTTTATTACACAACACGTAAACAACGAAGTTTTGTATTTTGCACGTTCCACGTAAAAGTAACATGATTTAACGGCTGGGTTTCACTAGCAGAAAGTTTCCATTTTTTTCTGACTTAGTGTACATCTGTCTGGATTTGCAAAAAACATGGCTACAGAAATCTCTCTTATATACCCTCTGACTGAGCCTTGCAGTGGAGCATGTTTTTTTGTCTTTTTCAGAGTTGCTTTTTATTTATTTAATCGGTACCGGAGAGGCCACAGTAGACAGACTTTGATGAGTTCCTCGCTGGCTATTAACCTATTACCCACCCCCCCCCCCACCCCCCCCCCCAAACAATGTTTTTTATAACTTCCCATAATTCTCTCTTCATGTAAGTTTGAAATCGGCGTGCGTACTAGACTGAACTCGCCTGGGAAAACGCCGAGAAGGCCTGGCAAAACGCCATACAGGGACTAGGCAAGGCCTAGGCCTACGTAAATAAATAACAGAGAGACAAGGTCCAAGACAGCGAGGAGTACCTTTGGTGAGTGATCTTTAATGCAAACACCTTCTCAATTTCAACCTAACCTCTTGCATCAATTCACTAAAACTTGAATCTACATGTAACTTTGTCTCTTGTACATGATTTGAAAAGCCTGAAGACATGTAGACATTATAAATTACAAGTGTCCAGGTGTAGCTAATGATCGAATCAANATTGCCGCGAAAGTCATTCATAGTGTGATTTACCGAAAGTGTTGACAGACAAATCTCAGGTATGTGCGGTTGAGCTCGTGTTACTAGAATACTTTGTGTCAAGCATAAAAACGCTTCGTGAGTGTTTAGTTTGGGTGATTTTGTGTTAGAAAGCCTATTCTGTGCTCAAAGATTGTGGATTCTTGATCTGTTTTCGGCCGACACTGAGCTGTAGGCCTCACGGTTTGACTGACTAAAAGATTACAATTTCTGGACGTTTCAAATGTTGTTTATTTCATCCCAAAATCCTGTTATTTCTGCGAGAGAACTTTACCGTCTATTGTCAGCAATAATGCTGTCATTGTTTAGCTTCAGCTAGTGACTTTTAATTGCTTCCCATTCCACTTAGATGTCAAATAGTTAAAATGCACTTGAAGTTTCTTTAGCCACGTTTTAACAAATCCAGACAGATATGAACATGAAGAAATGATCGTCGCAGTGAACGCAATTTATGCAACTGCGTAAAGAAGCCTGAAAAAAATTCAGGACTTCAACGGGGTTTGAACCCGAGACCTCGCGATACCGGTGTGGTGCTCAACCAACTGAGCTATGAAGCCACTGACGTTGGGAGCAGGTCAATATTATTGTGGGTTCATATGTTCCCCTGAAAGAAATGAGTGTTAATGATATATGAAATAAATCATATATGAACTGCGGAAATGAAATGAACTTGAAGAAATGATCGTCGCAGTGAACGCAATTTATGCAATTGCGTAAAGAAGCCTGAAAAAAATTCAGGACTTCAACTGGGTTTGAACCCGTGACCTCGCGATTCCGGTGCGATGCTCTACCAACTGAGCTATGAAGCCACTGACGTTGGGACCTGCGACGATCATTTCTTCATGTTAATTTCATTTCCGCAGTTCATCAGTTCATATATTAGTGTATATGCTTGGCATTTCTGTAAATTTCTGTGAATTTCGTAGCAGAAATTTGTATAAGTCATTCATTACCGCAAACAAACCAAATAAGAGTTTGATTTTATACTTCTCTACGGATCAAGGGAGCAAGTACCTCTTCCTTGGCAATTCTCATGTCATCTTTGACGTCGGAGAAAACAGTGGGTTGTATGAAGTATCCCTTGTCTCCATGACGACCACCACCACATTCCAGCTTTGCACCTTCTTTCTTTCCACTTTCAATCAAATCCAGAATTTTATCAAACTGTTCTTTATCCACCTACAGTCAAAAAATATAGAAGGTACAATGTTGGTCCAGCTGTCATACACCAATTTTGGGCAAGTTCACAGGGAGGCCACGCAAAAGGTACTAGTTACAAGCCAAAGTTTCAACTGCTATGGAGGAAACACGGAACTGAAGTTATTTCAAGTAAATAGTCCGAGGTCTGGTTAAAATGTCAGTGAATGTAATGTCGTACCCAGCAGTGAATGAGCAATGTCATAATATAAGCTGAACAACAGTCTGTAAAGTTAATTTACATTTATGGTCAAATGATCATTGTTCAGATAGTAACTCATGGTCACGGGCCACGACTGTTAAAATGTCCAAATTCGAGAGGGCTCAATCTGGAATCATATGGCAGGCGAAATCTTGGGGAGATTAGAAATTGATCATTGAGAGGGCTTGTGCAACAGGCCTTATTTTAGCCTGTGTAAAGACGCTCACTTCCACTCAAACAAAATCAGGGCCAGAGACACGCTCCCTGATTTTGTTTGAGGGGAGGGGGGGTCCAATGTTATTTAGGTTCCCTCTCGTGTACTGTCTCGTGCTTTGTGCTCAAGTCAAAAAGCACACCTGAGAGCTATTGATAAAACCTGTTTTGCAAGCTAAAAGTGAATGGTGATACAAGATTTCTTTACTACATTCACCTGTGGACCCTGTTCAACGTTCTCGCCAAACGGATCTCCAACAGTGCGCTTCTTAGCTCTTTCCACGCTTCTCTTCACAAACTTATCATAAATGGTGTCTTGTACAAATGTACGACTTCCTGCATTGCAGCACTGTCCTTGGTTGAAGAACAGCGCACGGTGGGCAGTCTGCACAGCAAAGTCCATATCACTGTCCGCAAATACTATGACAGGGCTTTTTCCTCCGAGTTCTAGGGTCACACGCTTCAAATTGGATTTCGCAGCTGCAGCCTGGATGATCTGTCCAACCTTTGTAACGATCATCGTAAGAGTAAGTCAATGTACATGTAAGACTAAAACTTGCCAATGCATAAGGATTTGTGACAAAAATTTATTGTTATTATAACGACAACTCATCTAACAGAGCAATATGAGACCTTAGTTCGTAAGCTATGTACACAACAATAACTCATTACACACAAATTGAGGGGCACCCTGATTAACTGCTAGTTTTAGCAAGTTTTCCCTCAAAATCGAATTGCGTTTTCTTGGGAAAAAAGAAAGGGTAGGACATAAGATCAAGATTGACCTAGAGCCTAATTCTCCAAGCCATGGGTGTTTCATTAGGTTTTTACAGTCTGTAGATAATCATTAAATCAATAGTAAAGTCTTTTGTTTTTTGATTAAGTCATTAAGTCAGTGTAACAGAGCAGTTTAACTCATTCAACAGTTGGGCAGGGGTGGGATGCTCGACACATTTTGACTGCTGAATAAAAAGAGGGTGACTTATTACAAAGATAATTTCAAAGTGGGATCTGAGTAGCTTGTTTACAGACCTTCTGATTTCCTCTTTAGATAAAGTCTAGCGCATGCATGACAATTACACCTGTGGAAGACTTATTGACTGCTAGCGCAAGGGGTGATATCAGAAGTTCCTTGGTTTCCCCTTTTTGCTTCCTTCTTCCCTCTTTCCCCCAGAAATGCCTGATACTCAAGTTAAAGGGGTAGGGGTGGGTAAGTGAGAACAAGATGACACTTGCCAAATTGTCCGCTTGATGTTAAATTATTTGAAAAAAAAAGTCTGTAGACAGGTTAGTATTGGTAAAGTTACATGAACATTTAGCTTCATGTACCTCTGTTGACCCTGTGAATGAGACTTTGTTGATGTCCATGTGTTCAGATATGGCAGCACCTGCAGTGGGACCATAACCAGGGATGATATTCACCACACCAGGGGGGAAGCCAGCCTGCAGACACAACAAGATATTCAGAAGACATCACAGTTCATAACATAATCCACACTAAAAAAATTAAGCCAAACCTATTTAATAAAGGCTTGCAAATTTGCATTCCCAGTAAAAGGGTATTATACCCCACGGAATCAATTTAGGTTTCTGGGAAACTGCCCACCTACCCCTCCCCTAACTCTACGTCAACATTTGCGTCTCACTTGGAGCAAAATGTTGGGTTAGGGGAGGGGTAGGCGGGCAGTTTCCCAGAAGCCTAAGATGATCCCCACCCTCGAGTCACGGGCAAGTGGCCGCTTGATGGAGGTTGGCTGCTCAAAAATAGTTTTTCATTTCAATTGGATAATATCAGCATAATCATTAGCATATTTCTTTATTTTGAACCAAACATGCACCAGCAGTGGCATTAATCAGTTGTCACCTTCGTCATCTTAACCTGTCTTTTCGTTCATCATCTTTTTTTTAAAATAAAGCCAAACCTAAGTGTATCAAGCAAGTGATGGCTGCTTAACAGAGGTGACACCAATAGGAGAACTCTCATTGGGTTGCATTGCTGCTACGATTATTTTGAAACTTTACTTACTTAGACTGCATAATAACGGAGCTCCACGCGCGCGACCGTGGCCCCATACCTAAGAAAATGTGGTCATCTACCCTTCCGAGAAATTTGGGTAATCACGTGACCGTAAGAAAGAGAAATAGAAACTAGCAACATCATGGAGCCTTTTGTCTTCTTTGATAATCGTTGGTTTATATAATTTTATTTTGGCGGCTTTTGGAACATTTTCAAAACTATTTCTTTAAATGTATCTGCCTAAAATTGGAAATTAATATTGTAACCTGGAACAAAGGAATCTAAAATTAACTATAAAATTCAGTTGAATAACGCCTAATTTACCTCCTTCAGAAGAGAGCCAAGGTAAAGAGCTGTTAATGGAGTCTGCTCTGCAGGTTTAAGCACAACAACATTGCCACAAGCCAAGGCAGGACCAAGCTTTAAGCTACACAAGGCCAAAGGGAAATTCCAAGGTGTAATAGCACCCACAATTCCAACTGGTTCACGCCGGGTGTACACAAAAAAAGGACCATCTGCAAATTCGAAAGTAACATTTGTACTCTTTAACACCTGAGAGTAACCAACATTAAATTTTTCCAGCTTATGGCAACTTTACTGAATCGAAAATACAGGTCATGAGAAAATACATCAAAGTAAAAACTGTGGTGAACTCGTAAATGCATTTTATTTTTCGTAAAAAGGCATTTACCAGCTGGTTATTTTACAAGCATTTGCGAGGATTTGAACTCGGGACTAACAAGAACAAATCCAGCTGGCGGTCAGGACAGGACTTGACCTCGGGCCTCTGAAATACAAGTCCAACGCTCAACTGCCCGACCACTACTATTGCAAATAAGCGTTCAGTGAAAAACGAGTGAAAAATAACACAATATTATGCAAAACAATGATTTTAATTTAAATTTGCAGCCAAAGCACAAAACATAAGGGGATAATCTTGATCAAGAAAAGATGACAAACAGAAAAATACACCTTGAGGTGTGATAATCGACTTGTGACTCTTTCTCGTTGACAGTAAAAATTAAGACTGTCAGTTGAGAAATAGCATCACTGTTTTTAAATTTATCAACCACTTTAGGCATAATCAGCTGGATTTTCAGCGTAAAACGGCTTTGAAGACGACTATTTGAAGCACATTGTATCCATTAATCAAATCATTGCTAGAACCCCTCTAGAGATCACACAATGAAGTTTCAGTAACTTAGGGTATAAATAATCACGTTAATGTCCCAAATTTAACTGTTCTAGCAGTCCTTAAGATTAAGATACGCGTAGTGTACAATGTATAGCATTGAAAGCAAGTCTTTACGTTTCCACCGTGGACGTGGCAGTGAATTTTATCCCTGCTGAAGATTGTTTGAAAACTTTTTTTATCTCAAACGATTCGTTAACGCCTCTTGTGTATTTTTCATACCAGTGAAATACTGACAGCAGCGAAAACAGTGACAAGAGTAAAAACAGCGACAACAGCGACCAGAACAACAACCGAACAACCGTGACAACCATGACAGCAGTGACAACGGCTATAATAGTGAGAACAGCGACAACAGTGAGAACAGCGACAAGAGCGACAACAGTGACAGTGACAACAGCGACATAAGTAAAACCAATTAAAACAGTGACAACAGTGAAAACAGCGAAAACAAAGACAACAGTGACAACGGTGACAACGGCGACAACAGCAACAACAGCGACAAAAGTGACAACGACAATAACAATGGTGACAACAGCAACAAGAGTGACAATGGTGACAACAGCGACAACAGTGAAAACAGTGACAATGGTGACAACAGCGACAGCAGTGTCAACGGTAAAAACAGCGACAACAAAAACAATAGTGACAATGGTGACAACATCGACAACGATGACAAAATTGCCAACAGCAGCAACAGCAACAACGATGCACACCGCAACAACAATGACAACAATGACAACAGGGAACACAACAACAACGCGGACAACGGTGACAACAGCAACAACAGTGACAACGGTGACAATGGTGACAACAGTAAAAACAGTGACAACCGACAACAACAGTGAAAAAAGTGCCAACAGCGACAACGGTGACAACAGTGACAACGGTGACAACGGTGACAACAATGACTAGAGGGACAACAGTGACAACAATGACAAGAGCGACAACAGCGACAACAGTAACAACGGTGACAACAGCAACAACAGTGATAACTGTGACAACAGTGACAACAGTGACAACAGCCACAACGGTGACAACAGCTACAAAAGTGACAACGGTGACAACGGTGACAACGGCAAAAACGGTGACAACGGCGACAACGGTGAAAACAGTGACAACTGCGACAACAATGACAACAGCGACAACGGTGACATCAGCGACAACAGTGACAACGTTGACAACAGCGACAACGGTGAAAACAATGACAACAGTGACAATGGTGACAACAGGGAAAACAGTAATAACGGTAACAACGGTGACAACAGTGACAACAGCGACAACGGTGACAACAGTGACAACAGTGACAACAGTGACAACGGTGACAACAGTGAAAACGGAAACAACAGCGACAACAGTAACAACAGTGACAAAGGTGACAACAGTGACAACGGTGACATCGGTGACAATGGTGAATATGGTGACAAATGCGACAATATTGACAAAGGTGACAACAGTGACAACAGCAACAATGGTGACAACAGTAAAAACAGTGACAACAGCGACAACAGTGACAACGGTGAAAACAGCGATAACGGTGATAACTGTCACAACGGTGTCAACGGTGACAATGATGACAACGGTGAAAACAGCGATAACAGTGACAACAGTGACAAAGCGACAACGGTGACAACAGTGACAACAGGGACAACAGTGACAACAGTGACAACGGTGACAACAGTGACAACGGCGACAACAGTGACAACAGCGACAACAGTGACACAGTGACAACAGTGAGAACGGTGAAAACAGTGACAACAGTGACAACAACGACAGCGGTGACAACAGTGACAAAAGCGACAACGGTGACAACAGCGACAACGGTGACAACAGTGACAACAGCGACCACAGTGACAACAGTGACAAACGTGAGAACAGGGACCACAGTGACAACACCGAAAACAGTGACAACAGCGACAAAGGTGACAACGGTGACAACAGCGACAACAGTGACAACGCTGAGAAGAGCGAGAACGGTCAAAACAGTGACAACGGTGACAACAGTGACAACAGTGACAATAGTGACATCGGTGACAACAGTGACAATAGCGAAAACAGTGACAATGGTGACAACAGTGACAACGGTGACAACAGTGACAACAGCGACAACGGTGAAAACAGTGAAAACTGCGACAACAGTGACAACAGCCACAACAATAACAACGGTGACAAAAGAGACAACAGGGAAGACAGCAACAACGATGATAACAGTGACAACGGTGACAACAGCGGCAACAGTGACAACGGTTACTCCCATAAAAATCGTGACAACAGTAAGAATAGTGACAACGGTGACAACAGTGACAACGGCGACAATGGTGACAACAGTGACACAGTGACAACAGTGAGAACGGTGACAACGGTAAAAACAGTGACAACAGTGACAACAGCGACAGCGGTGACAACAGTGAAAACAGCAACAATGGTGACGACAGTGACAACGGTGACAACAGTGACAACAGCGATAAAAGTGACAACAGTGAAAACAGTGACAACAGCGACAACAATCACAATGGTGACAACAGTGACAACAGCGAAAACATTGAAAACAGTGAAAACAGCGACAACGGTGACAACAGTGACGAAAGTGAGAACAGGGACCACAGTGACAACACCGACAAAGGTGAGAACAGCGACAAAAGGGTCAATAGCGACAACGGTGAGAACGGTGACAACAGCGACAACATTGACAACGCTGAGAAGAACGACAACGGTGACAACAGTGACAACGGTGACAACAGCGACAACAGTGACAACGGTGACAACAGCGACAACGGTGACAACGCTGACAACAGCGACAACAGTAACAAACGTGACAACTATAAAAACGGTCACAACAGCGAGAACAGTGACAATGTTGACGACAGCGACAACAGTGACCAAAGTAAAAACAGCCACAATCGTGACAACAGCTACAACAGTGACAACAGTGAAATCAGTGAAAACGGTGACAACGGTGACAACAGTGACAACGGTGACAACAGTGACAACAGTGACAACGTTGACAACAGCGACAATGGTAACATGGTTACATCGGTGAACCCAATGACATTAGCGACAACAGTGACAACAATGACAACGGTGACAACAGCGACAACAGCGACAAATGTGACAACAGTGACAACAGTGACAACGGTGACAACAGCGACAACGGAGACACACTGACATCGGTGACAACAGTGACAACAGCGACAACAGTGACAACAGTGACAACAGCGACAACAGTGACAACAGCGACAAGAGCGACAACGGTTTCAACACTGACAAAGGTGAGAAAAGGGACCACAGGGACAACAACGACAACGGTGACAACAGCGAAAAAAGGGGCAACAGCGACAACGGTGACAACAGTGACAACGCTGAGAAGAGCGACAACGGTAACAACGGTGACAACGCTGAGAAGAGCGACAACGGTGATAACGAAGACAACAGTAACAACAGTGAAAACAGTGACAATGGTGACATCGGTGACAACAGTGACATCAGCGACAACGTTGAAAACAGTGAAAACAGCGACAACAGCGACAACGGTGACAACAGTGACAAAAGTGAGAAAAGGGACCACAGGGACAACACCGACAACGGTGAAGACAGCGACAAAAGGGCCAAAAGCGACAACGGTGACAACAGTGACAACGGTGACAACAGTGACAACAGTGACATCGGTGAACACAGTGACAACAGCGACAACAGTGACAACAGTGACAACAGTAACAACTGTGACAACAGCGACAACGGTGAAAACAGTGACAAGAGCGACAACAGTGAAAACAGCCACAAAAGTAAGAATGGTGACAACAGTGAAAATGGTGACAACAGTGACAACCGTGACAACGGTGACAACAGTGACAACAGCGGCAACCTCGAGAACAGTGACAAAGGTGACAACGGTGACAACGGTGACACCAGTGACATCGGTGAAGACAGTGACAACAGCAACAATGGTGACAACGGTAACATCAGTGACAACAGTGACAACGGTGACAACAGTGACAACAGCGACA